GCTGATTTCCTCTTTTTATCCCTTCATGCAAATGATTGTAATTGATGCATATTTCTCAGCAAAACTGAGGCCATATCTTTCATAGTATACCCCGTATTACATTGGATCTAATGCTATTTAGTCTAATGGTAGGAAATTTATAATCTTTTTCGCGAAAGTTAAACCATGTCAACGCCCGGCGCAAACCCGCCCTCCCCAACACCTGCGAGGATCCAGGAAGAAGCAAACCCAGCCACAGAGGCAGTTGCCGAAGGTCATCCCGCGACAACGGCGGTCCAACAACCCGAAATTCATGGTAATTTATAGGATAAATTTTCACCACATGACCACATAAATTTTAGCTAGCACCCCTTAGCAAATATTGCCTTCTGTTTGTGCTGCAGAATTGCCGCAGGAACAACATACGTCGATGTCGGGCGAGACAAGTGCAAGTAGGTCTAGTAGAAATCCGCGGTCACAAAATATATGGCCGACCACAGTGCAAGTTATAAGAGAGGTTGACGCTAGTGGTAGGCCCACGGCGCCCAGGACTGTCATTGGAAGATGGTCTAACTGCTGCGGGATAGCGGCACGTGAGAACTTCGGGATCCTCCATAAAGATATCGGGAAGGTCACAGAAGCCGAGAAAGAGCGAGCTTGGACGGCAATGGAGAAATGGTTCACATTTCCAGCCGAAGCAAAGGATAGGCTCAAGCGGAAGGCATTCCAAAAGATGGGCAAAGCTTGGAAGAATTGGAAGTCGAAGCTCTTCACCGAGTATGTCAACCCGCCCGGCAATCATACGCCGTTCGATGAATACCCTCAAATAACCGAAGCGGTGTGGGAGGAATTCTGCTCTCTCAAGACCACCCAAGAGTTTAGGGAATCCAGCGAGGCACATCGCGTACTGCAACAGCGGAATGAGCACCCGCATCGGCTGGGCACCGCAGGGTACATCGGCAAGGAGGCAATATGGGCCCAAGAAGATGCAGCCGCTGCAGCAGCGAATGTACCTGCCCCGTTTTCAGACATCCCTGAACAAAGAGCTCGCAACTGGGCGCGGGCAAGGGGTAAGGTCAACCCGGACGGCTCTGTCACATTTGAGAACAAAAGTGATGCCGTCGTCTATCAGGAACTGGTGAGTTCACTACTTAACCTAACTAATTTCCGTTCGTATAAAGTACAAGTTCGTATAAACGACTATCTTCTTTTCTAGTTGGGCTTGGTTGCTGAACAAGCTTCACAAAGCGAGGTTGAGTCCGCGCCGAAGAGGCGCGAAGATGACATCCTCACAAAGGCGCTCGGAACCAAAGAACATCCTGGCCGAACTCGGGGAATTGGTAGCGATGTGCCCTGGAAGCATGGACTCCCTCAGTACAGCTCCCAATACAGGAAACGGAAAGTCTCCAAGGAAGAGAGGGACGCTCGTTTGAAGGCCGAACTTAAGGTTGAGGTCATTCAAGAACTAGAAGCTAGCATGAATGCAAGGGTGGAAGAAAGGGTTAACAAGGTGCTCGCCGACATGAATATACCCCGAGTCACAACACCTGCTGTGCAACCAACTCCTCGTGTACAACACGACGCGAGTCCGTCACAGCATAGGAGTAGTTGTGCATCCACAGAGGTGCCGGCCCCTGGTCTCCCGATCGCACCACTAGCTGCAGTGGACCACATCGAGGTAATTATTGTTATCCGATCCATATCTAATAAAAGACATTTACACATTCCAATATTAAATTCAAACTTTCACCTTATGCAGGGCGCAGCACAGTGTGTCCTACTAGCGAGAGTCCACCCAACTTTCGCTCCTGAAGTCGCTGAGGGCATGGCTTTCAAGCCCTCGGTTACAGACAAGGTCCACGGCGCAGACCTGCTAGCTGGGTATGCCAAGGTGTCCATCGATACAGTAAAGGACACCTGGTCAGGCTATCCGCTGCCCGTGCCCCCAAATGATGAAATCATGACTTTGGGCGATGCGCGCAAGACATTCATACAATGGCCCAAAGAAGACATAGTTGTGAAGATGACTCCTCGTCCAAGTCGACCGACGGAGCTTACACCTCCCAAGTCTAAGCTATCAATTGAGGCTCCCCGTGGACCGGCATTGTCAGTACCTCATTCTCCCGGTGGAGCTGATATGGACTTGGCAGATATAGCTCAAAGCTTGGCTCCAATAAAGACCACAAGAAAGGCCGATAGCTCCCCACCACTTGTCAAGGGCCAGAAGCGTGAACGAGGCAAGGGGAAGGTCGGGGAGTTGGCGCCGGAGCCAAAAAGGGGCAAGGCTGCGACGTCGATGCCGGTGAGCAAATCGGGGAAGGTCGTGAGGGCGCCAGCCCAATTTGAGCTAGGCATGCCATTGGTGGAGGACAATGTGTTAGCTGTGATGGGTATTGCTTGCCGAGAGCTACATAAGCAATACATGGAGCTAAGCAATGCCAAGCGGAAAATGAGGGAGTCATCCATAGTTGGACATCACGACCACCAGCCGTTCCTATCGTCGCCTGCCTATATAACTATAGGCTTTGATGACCTCTTCGACCTTTTCAGGATCCGGAAGTTGGACACTGGTCTTCTAAAATGCTACTCCTTGTAAGTGCATACCTTCTATACTTGTGATATGACTGGACTATATCTCCTAATTAAATTAGTTCTAATACGTAAATATTTTAAGGTTGTGTTGGATCGAGAGTCGTCGCCATGGTAATCAGGTTGGGTTCCTTGATCCATCCATGGTGAATGAGGTTAATTTACAACAGAGCTCCACTGAGGTGGTTGACTATGTCAACCGGTGTTTATGGGCCCATCAAGACAAGGAGTACATCATGTGCGCACACAACCAAGAGTAAGAGGACAATACCCTTCGTGTATATTGTTTTTGAAGTTAAGGTTCTTAGTACTAACGCTACATAACCACTGCGCAGGCGACATTGGATTCTCCTAGTCATCGTACCTAAGTGGAGTAGGGTTACCTACCTTAACTCCAATAAGTCCAAAGATTATGATTTCAGTGAAATCACCAAGGCCTTAAATATGGCTTGGGGCCCATATGTGGAAAAGGGTGGTAGGCACAAGGAGGGCAAGAACGAACTTTATCATGACACCAAGTTTGCATGCGCACAACAGATCGGAGACCAATGTGGTTTCCACGTGTGCCACAACATGTCAACACTTCTAAGAGAGGTGAAAGATTTCGACCCTGAGGTTGTTGCTAATGGCGAATAAGCTCATTTCAATATCTACATTGCTATTCAAAACGTGCTAATTAACCTCTTATTTATTAAACAGAAAGGTAGAGCTGGCTTCAAGATCTCACCCATCAACCCCCCCGCTATCAGAGGCGAATTATGTGCCTTTATTCTTGCAGAAATAATGAACAAGAAAGGACGTTTTCATGCCAAATAGACTCATGAACTTGGCTAGATAATTTATTGTGATGTAAAAAAGATGTTTTTATAATTTCTGGCGATGTAAAAAATTATGTTTTTATAGAGTGCAATGTAATTTACTTTCATATGTGCAATATTTATGGTACTTTACTAAATTGTCATCACATTTGATCAACTACGATTTATGTTGTACTATTCATCTGTTTTCTCCTTTTTTTTTCCCTTATTGACAGGTTGTGGAGGTTCACAACGAACAGAATATAAGAAATTTTGGTAATCATTTGAGGACTTTCATGGGGTATGAATTGTGTGCTATAATAAATTAAATTGTTGCATATGTGATGTTGTAAATTGTTGCTTTGTGATGGATCTGTGATATGTGATGCATCTGTGATGTTGGGCAGTTGGGGAATATGTGATATGGAGGGGGGGTGACTGGCACCTGTGATGTTTCTGTTTTTCAGAGGGCATGGCTAGCAATTCCTGAGGCTAGCCAATATTTAGCATTTATTTTTTTTCTGGAATTAACTCATCAGTGACGGTTCGGAAGAAACATCCGTCACAGGTAACCTCACCTGTGACGGACTCGCAAACGTCGGACCGTCACAGGTGACCCACCTGTGACGGGCTTTTACTTTCGGGCCCGTCACAGGTGGGTCACCCTGTGACGGCTACTATATACCGGAGATCATCACCTCTGACGGGCCTTTATTTAGGGGCTCGTCAGAGATGAGACACCTGTGACGGGTCCTAACAAGCCCTAGTCTAGCTTAGACCAACACCTCTGACGGCCTTCTATTAACTTGCCCGTCAGAGGTGGATGTCACCACTGACGGCCGGCCACCCGTCAAAGGTGACTGGACTTACCAGTGACCACTGATCACTGACCAAGCCCAAAACCGTCAAAGGTGAGGGTTTGGGCCCGTCACAGGTGACCTTGACCAGTGTAGTGCTTGTGTTGGAAACCGTTAGATTACAGCCAATCAACAGCAGTTTGTCATCAGCTTTGGTGTTGGAAACCATAACTCATGAAACTGGCAGCTTGTCATCCTCATTGGTAAACCTAGATACCATAGTGGCTACCGCACACACTCATAGGGACATGTAAGCATTTGCACTATTATGTTTTTCTACCTGATTTCCTCACTCACTCAAACCAAAACCATCTTGTTATCCTGTATGATAATTAATCTTCATCCCATATTTTTTCTCAACACAATCAGAGGAACTTGTAGCTCGAATCATATTATCATTTAACACAAATAATGGACTTTATTATCTCAACCTTATCATGAACTGATATCAATTATCGAAAAGTCATTGTTGATAATGTGTGTTGAGTGCTTGCAGGTGCCCGATAAAGCAATACATTGGAACAGAAACTAATTAGTTTTTATACAACTCTTTGTTAGATATCATATGACAAGACATATATAGGTGCATTATTTTTCAATAGAGGATTTGCAGATAGCTTTTGAAGTATCACTGTCATTTCTCTTACAAACATCATGCAAGAGGCGAAATATTACATAATCAGAAGAAATAATCTCAATTATACCATACTATTGGATCAAAGAAAAATGTTCTAAGAAAATTCTCACAGTAATAGATCCTAGATATATCTTGGTTTGTAAGTCGAGATTTGACATAGAAAGTTTTCATAAAGTAATTTTGATTTATTCCCCATGATTGGTGCAAGCATATATATATGCTTCACCATTACAAGTCTAAAACATAGGCTAGTAATAGGAATCACACTTCAAATCGTCCATCGAAGCAGCTGCAAGAGTCACCACAACCCTGGACACTGGACATCATGTGCTAGATCCCGGAAAATCAGCATTTGCGGGTGTGACAGCCTGCTCTTCAAATAGAAATTGTGATTGACATGCTATTTCAATATGTGGCTGTGGCAATGGCATTCTAGTACCCTTTGCATCTTGCAGTACCTGGTAGAACTTTGCAATGGAAGTGTAAGGTAGAGCTGAGAGTTTGTTGTGCAGCTCCTCCAATTCATCCTGCCCCAGGAGATTAACTTCAGAAGTCAGTGATTGCATAAGATGTCCTGCCCTCTCCTTCTCCATTGCCTCCTGAACCCTCTTCTTCTTTTCCGACTTTTCCAATGACTTTTGGAGCTCCACATATTCAATTTTCTGCTGTTGCGCTATGTTTGTCACCTCACCGCTATCATGGTACCCACCACCCAAGGAATGGTTATTGGGAATGCCCATGGCCATGGAGGCCAAGCGGTCAGCAACATCATCAACAGAGGGATGGGCAAAGGAGAAACCCCTACCAGCAGGAGAAATCACAACAGCAGCTATATTTGCATTACATAGCAATGAAAGCTCACCAGCTTTATTAAATAGGGTTTGGCGACGCTTCGAGAAGCAAACGTCACGTGCATCCTTTTTTTCGATGCGCTTGATCTCAACCTTTTTCCTGCCAGCCCTTCCCTTTCCCTTCACCATCACTTATTGGATAAGGTGTGGTTCTCCTTTGGCTATATTTTTCCTAATGATGGATATAACATGCTGTCGTGGAACGTCTGTTTATATAGAGATTTTTGTAAGGATATAACTAGAAGCACGGATTTACATTGATGAAAAGATATCTAGATTTTTGTATGTTTGGAGGGTATATTAGGTAGCATTCAGTGCATTAAAAAACAGCCAAAAGAAATTTATACACTACTTAGAGAATTAGTAACTGTGCACATATGGAGAGACTTATCTATTGTGATGTATCCAAATATAAACTCAATGGAATTAAAATTGGAATACGAAAAATGCATACCATATATTCGCCACCATCAAGATAAGAAGTGATAACAAAAGGGAAATTGTAAGGGAAGGAAGAAGACCCATATAAGTGTGTCATCTCGAGTAAAATCTTCACCATATTGTTTGTGTCACTAGATCAATATAAACCATTATTTGTGTTACTAATGTAAATGACTTATAGATTAGTTTTATACATTGTAATAAGATTGAACACTATAGTTCAATTTACTGAATATCTATTAAAAGAGAGGTTGGTAGAATAGTTGGTTGGAGATAATGCACCCATCCTTCTAGTGTTCGACTCCAGATGTGATGTCCCATTTTTCTTAATTAATTAACGATTAGGTCATCTTTGGTTCTCCAACATCTTCAATTGACTAAATAACTACTATATTTAGCAAAGATACAAATGGAAAATTTATGGACCTCAATAAAGGACCCTAGCAAGATTGAGACACTTTAATTTTGCAAAGATACACGCCACAAGCATTTTTAGTGTTGTGTTATATCTATTTATGTTCATTCTTTTATTTCCTTTCCAAGCACTTCGCTGCCAATACAAACCTTTGACTGTGCTAGTGAACTCTCTAGTTCTCATATATAAATAAAAAATGAATTCATTCAGTGATGATGTATGCAGGGGCAGAGAAAGCTCCCGGACCAGTCGGGAGGCTGCCTGGGCTCCGTCATTGCCGCCTCCACTATCGAATGCCGTCAACGTTTGCAGAAGTTGCTAGATTGCTATGAAACACTATTATTCACCCAGGCTCGACGATGCACCTCCTCCGCCACTATCTGTAAGGATAAGTGGAAGGAGAAAGAATAGATAAATTCATGGAAAGAAACAACTTGTCCATTCCAGAGCCTTCTGCCCCATAATAGAACCACTGTTCAATTTCTTGACAATCACCTATAATTTTGTTGTGTGACTTGTCCAATGGTTGTGTACCAATGTAGAAATATTATTTCTGTTTTGTTTAAGTGAGATTTCTCTAGGATTTTTCATTATGCCGTGCAGAACATCAGCCATTAATGCATGGTTGGTCATATGCCATACACAACATCATCGATTCTTGTTACTTGCTCTCTAGTATTGATCCAACATAAACCTGATCAACTGAACCATCCTAGTATTTGCATATGAACTCCTAGCCTCTAGCCACCTAGTCCTATATGAGTCATATTCAATAAATGTTATGTACCATGGAAGGTTACATATCATAACAAGTTGAACCATCTTCCTTTCTGCTACTAAAACTAGCTTAAGTCTATTCTTGCGTAAATAACCATATATATCATGCCTTTGTTGTTTTTACTGAATATCATGCTTTTTTGATGTTGGAGTTCATTGTTAAATCATTAACTTAGGTTATGCATGATCACTGTCACACCCTGAAGTTCTTCTCCCAAGCCTAAATTGAATTTATAAATGGTCTCAAGAAAATATCGGTGTAAAAGCAAAAGAGAAACCCTAAAGGAATTAATGTAAATAATAATCGGAATTGGCATGTGGAATTTTTCTTGAGTTCTACATGTCGAAATATGCTAACATGATTTTTAGTGGAATTTTCAGAGCTCTAGAAATAATTTTTAACCAATTAAAAATGAGCACAAGCAATATTTAATCCCTAGAAATTCATTTTCTCCTTTTTCTTTTTCTTTTTCCCTCCTTTTTTCGAATGGGCCGCCGGCCCATTCTCTTCCCCTCCCCCTCCCCGCTGGGCCGGCCGAAGGCCACGGCCCAGCTGAGCCGGCCGCCTCCCTCCTCCCTTTGGGTCGCCGACAGGTGGGGCCCACCTATCGGGCCCGTCTCCCTCCTCCAGCCGCCGCCGCGCCCCGCAACCGCCGCCCGCGCCCGCGTTCCCCGCGCCCACTTCCCCTCTCTCCCGCCCGCGCCCGCGCTCGAGATGGCCGGGATTCGAATTACGAATCCCGCCTCTCTCTCCTCTCCCACTCCCCCACGTCGGCCGGCGATTCCCGCCTCTCCCGGCCACGTCCGGACCCCTCCTCCCCTATTTAAGCACCACCGCCATCCCCTCTCTCTTTTTCCCCATTTCGCCGAGCTCTCCCGTGGCCTCTATCGCCCTAGCGCCGTCGCCCTCCTCTCCGCCGTCGCTGCCGCCGCTCCGGTAGCCGCTAGCCATCGCTAGCCGCCGCGCCGAGCCGCGCCGTCGCCGCCGTCGGGTTCGCAAGCCCGAGGGCCACGCCGTCCACCCTTCCTCCGTCGGAATCCGCCGCCGGAACCCCGTCCGCACCGCGCGTCGGTGAGCTTCGCCATGGCCGACGCCTTAGCCATCCATGGTTTCCCTTTCCCTCTCTAACTCATCCCTTTTGATCCCTTAGGTGGTCCCAGAGCTCGTCTCGCCGTCGCCATCGCCCTCCGTCGCTCGCCGTAGTCGATCGTCATCGGTGAGGCCCCTCCTCCCCTTTCTCCCTCTCCCCCCGTGCCGCTTAGCCGCCGCGCCGCCGCCTAGCCTCTTAGCCGCCGCTATCGCCGTCCGCGTCGCCGCGACGCCGCCGCCCTCCGCCGCCGGCCAGTCGCCGCCTTGTGCCGCCGCTGCGTCGAGCCGCGCCGCCGTGCGCCATGGCCGCCGGGCCGGCTAGAGCCGCCCATGCGCGCCGGCCACGCGCTTCCGCGGCCGTCCGATCTACCGGGGCCGTCCGTTCGGCCGCCCGCGTGGCTGCCGCGTGGCCGCCGCGTCGGCGCCACGTCAGCTCCACATGGTGCGCCGCCCCTTTTCCGGTCCGTGGACCCGGTCCACCGCAGACCGCCCCCCCCGAGTCACTGCCATGTGAGGCTCGTATGTCGGCGCCGCCCACTCTCTCTCCCAGGGTTTATTTATTGCGCAACAAATCAATTAAGGATTTTTCTGTTTATAGTAAAAACACAGTGAACTTTCTAAAATTCATAGAAAATTCATCCGAGCTCCGTTTAAGCCCATTCAAGTCTCAGTAAATCAAGAAAAATGCATAGAATCCATTAAAAATGGTTTTGTTCTCTGTTTCAGTAGTCTTATAGCCTGTTTGTATTGTTTACTTTGTATATCGCTTAGATTCCGGCTCTCCCAACGCTCCGGTGTACTTTGAATTAGTCGCCGAGGTTCCTCCAGCAGCAGAGCAAGGCAAGTCATTCTTGTCACTTGAATATGTTGATCCTATATTGCAAATGTTCTATTGTTTTCCTTCAAATATTGCATTGTTTCACAATAATACCATGGGATGTTTACCTACTGTTATAGCCATGCTATTTTTGTACCATGCTCCTTTGTTAGCTTGGGATATAACATGACTAGATATTGGTCTAGGGATTGCTTAGCCATGCTTAGTTCAACTAGCACACAATGGGGGAAATCATATTAATGTATAGACCTCAGGTTCTAGTGTTGATGTTGGATTAGAGCCACCGTCCTGGTGTTGCTTAATTAAAATAAATCATATAGTGGGCTGTGGGTGCATGGTTTTGCTAGTCACGCCCATGGCACTTAAGGACCGGTTCGCGGGAAACCCTGAAAGAATTTCTCGTACTTACCACAAGCCAGCGTGGGCAACGGCTGGGCTTGTAGTGTAGCTTTCCTCTAGCTGACGCATCCAGGCAAGGGTGGGTGTGATGGAGCGGGGCGGGCCTTGCGACGGCCTCTGTCGCTTCCGGATTCACCTAGGCACGAGAGGGGACTACCCGTTGCCCGCTGGGGATAGGGGTGAAACCTGAGGTGTGGTGTGCTTGGCTAGAGGGGGTTATGTGAACGGTCCTGTCACAGCCTCTTTCCGGTATGTCGTGGTGGCATGTCGGCGCACGGAAACGTGTCATGGGGCTGTGTCTTGTGGGTACAGTTGTACACCTCTGATCAGAGTAAAACTATTCGAATAGCCATGCCCGCGGTTATGGGCGGTCAACCAGATTCACCGTGATTAGATTCACCCTAGACTAGTCTAATGGAATTGAATAGTCTAGGTGGATGGTTGGGCCTGTTGCAATGTGGTGTAGCGTTGGACAGTGGATGGTTAATATTGATTAATTATTACAACTGTTTCTTTGCTTTCAACTACTGTTTATAAATGCTCGCTTTATGCAAATGAACCACTCTAGCTCTCCTTTGATATTTCCCTGCATCATACCCCTATTCCGGTATGACTTGCTGAGTATAGTGGGTAGTACTCAATCTTGCTCTATTTTCCCCAAACCCCAGAGTTTGAGTATACGTTAGATGGTGGTTTTTCCGAGGAGTAGGCTTCGTCCGTGCCGTCGAGGATGCCTGTGGAGTGGTGTTCCCGCTGCAGTCCAAGTCAAGGCTTAGCTCCAGTTATCTTTGTTTTTTTTCCGCTGCATTTATGTAAGACTTTTATAATGTTTGTAAGTCGTGGATCTGTATGTCAACTTTGTCGTTTGTGTACCCCGGCCGGTCCTGGACGGGGGTTTTAATGCACATTCTGCTTGGAATTCTACTCGGGAATTTCTGGGCGTGACAATCACCTAATATTTTATGCAGAATTCAGTGAAACATGAAGCAGCCTTTAGTCCCCGTTGGTATTGTAGTTGACGAGCGGGTGCCGGTGATGGGATCACCCTGCGGCGGTGGTGATAGGAATGCCGTGCTGCGGCGATGGTGATGAAATTCAATCTTTGGTCCCTTCAACGCGCATTAGGATCAGCAGGCTTATGGTTTTGGGAAAATCTTACCGTACATGAGTTCTCACCCGTGTACAAGACCGAAATTCCCTTTTATAGTGTGTTGAGGGGATTGAGGGTGATTCCTTTTGAGGAAACTGCTATTGGGGGTGATTATTTTCGACAAAACAGCGAGTCGTCGACATTGGTCATCCAATTCCGGTCATACAACTCAGATCGATCGAGCCCAGAACAAAATCTGCGCCAGGTGGAAACCCTTGCTCCATTACCCTTTCTTTCCCTAATATTTCTAGCGTGAGCTGAGTGGTGGCAGTGATGGTGATGCCGAGCAAAGCGGAGGAGACGACAATGCCGAGCAAAGCGTAGGTGATGGTGACAACCGGCACATTGGTAGCGAGCTAATTCCATGAGTCTCTCCTCCTCAGTTCTCCTCCAAGGTGTGGCCGGAGCCACACCATGGCAAGCCTCAGTCTCGCGCTACTGCCTGATGCGGCAATGGGACCAGTTCGAGATGGTGGAGGCGAATGCACGGTGGCGGTGATGCCGCGCATCACACGCAAGAAGGCGACGGAGGAGTAGGGTGCACGAGCACGGCATGAGCTGATGTGACACACGACGGGCTCTTCCGAGTTGAAACATGAGGTCGATGAAGACACGCGCATGGCTTGGGTCATGCCATATGTAGCCAACTCTTGCGAGTGGAGGTGGTGAGGCGGGCAAGACGGGCCCCCAATGAGCTGATGTAGGTGCACATCTCGCTAATAATGAGTTCTCTTGAGCCGGTGAGTGCTTAGTCCCAAATTTATTAGGGTTTGCTTTAATTGGGATTTGTTGGGTTCAAGATTTTCTTAATTTGGGGATTTGAGGTTCTTAATTTGCGATGCTTCAAGATTAGGGTTTTGAATTAAGGAAATTTCGAAATTAGGGGTTCGGTTAGGACAGAATTGGTGGTTTTGGGATTTGTTAACTTCAACTCAAAATTCGTAATTCCCTCCTAATTTCTACCCAATCCAGGAAATTTGACTTAAACAAGCAACTTAAACATCAATTAAACCCTAATAGCACTTGAACAGAACATGATCCATAAAATTTGACTTGGATGCAACATGAACCCTAAAACATGAACAAGATGATGCTAGGTTACTTGACATGGCTTAATGGCTTCATTACTGGAGTGATGGGAACATGCAAATGCCTAAGAAGGCTCTAATACCACAGTGTTGGAGCACATTCTTAAATCATTAACTTAGCCCATGCATGATCACTAGATTTCTTATGTGGAATTCGGTGAAAGTACTGACCAGTGAAAGATGAAGCTATGAGCGCTGCCTTTAGTCGTTGTTGGTATTGTAGTTAGCCAAGCTGGCATCGGTGAAGGGATCACCATGCGGAGGCCGATAGGAACGCCATGGTGCAACAATGGTGATGGAATTCGCCATTCGATCCCCTTCAACATGCATTAGGATCAGTAGACTCATGGATCTAGAAGCGATGACGATGGTGTCAGCGGATAGCTTCTTTATAAAGGTGGGAGGACTACCAAGAGGGTCCAAGAGTCGTGCTCTACCAGATTGGGGCGCACCCCACATGGGCCCCACTTGGGCCGGGGTCCCAGACGTAGTTACAAGCCCATAGGCCTATTATTGGTGATGCAATACCTTGCTTCTGTGATTGCGGCCAAATGAGATGGAATTCCAAGATGAGGCTGGATCCGTTGGAAAGAGGACTTTGAGAGCTTTCCATCAAGTACTCACGGGCCCAAAACGGAGCACGTGTGTAGATTTGGCGGCCGTTTGAAGTCAGCAACGTAACACGTGGCCGAATCAGATTGCAGCACATGGAGGACTTGATCTTGATGTCTTCTTGTTGATTCATGATGTGAGCAACGGTTGTATCGATAGTAGCCATGGTCACATCAGTGGCTTGGGGGTTCATAATTTGGAAATACAAAATAAATGTCTCTTGAGTAAATGGTTGTTTAAGTTAATAAATGAAAAAGGGGGTGTGGCAAGACTTATTGAAGAGAAAGTATCTTTATAATAAATCTATAACTCGAGTTGATAAGAAACAAGGTGATTTCCATTTTTGGTAAGGTCTTATAAAAGTTAAGAGTACTTTCTTAAGTATTGGTTCGTGGATTGTGAATAGTGGGGAACAAATAAGATTTTGGGAAGATAAATGGTTAGGTAACTTGGCCTTTAAAGATAAGTATCTTTCTTTATATGCTATTGTCCTGAGGAAAAATTCTTCAATTGCTAGTGTTATACGATCTGTTCCACTTAATGTTTCTTTTAGGAGAGCTTTAGTTGGTCAGAAACTTCTTTTTTGGCATGATTTATGTGCTTCTATTGTACATGTGCAGTTGAATCTCTCTTCTGATTGTTTTAGATGGAACTTTAATCAGAATGGACGGTTCTCAGTGAGGTCAATGTATCTGGCTTTAATCAATAATGGCCATACTGAGAGAAATAAAATAATTTGGAAACTTAAGATGCCACTTAAGATTAAGATATTTATGTGGTACGGTGTTGTTCTAACCAAAGACAATTTGGTAAGACGGAATTGGAATGGTAGTTTAAGATGTTACTGAAGAATGAGACTATTCATTATCTCTTTATGGAATGTCATTATGCAAAGTTTGTATGGAGAACCGTTCAATTTTCTTTTGGTTTATACCTTCCTAATAGTATATCACATATTTTTTATGGTTGGCTTTTGGGGATAGACAAGAAAAAGAGCAAGCTTATACTTGTAGGAGCTTCCGCCTTATGTTGGACTCTGTGGCTAAGCAGGAATGATATGGTTTTTGATAAATCACCTTCTATTTCATATATGCAGGTAATTTTCAGGGCAACATATTGGCTCCGGTTCTGGGCTCAGCTACAAAGGTGTGAGGAAGATGGTGAGCTTTTAAAAGTTGCATGTCATATGCTTGCGACAACAGTTATACAACTTTTTGCAAATTATGGATGGAGATTCTCAAATAGACTTCAATAGATGTCTACTCCTTATCTTAGTTTGGTTATTTGTTTTTTTTTTAATTTCTTATGTTTTGTTTAACTTAACTCTTTTTTTAGTGCTACTTTGTAATAATTGGCTGTAGCTCTTTTTGAGCAAAGTCCGAGATGTTTTATTCCATTATCTGAAAAAAATGTAGACCCTACTCTGTGACTTATATCTGGGCTCCATAGATTCTTTTGAAATTTTTTAAACATCTAATGATATATGGGTCCCATTTAGATTTATTTTTCTTAAAGTTTTTTTGGCTGACTTTAATTCCACGTAAACATCAAGTAGAATGAAGATTAGTTCAATATGCCACATAAATGCTGCGTCAGCAATATTCACCGTTAATATTGTCGAGAGAGAATTTTATTCTCCACGTAAGAGAGAGAGAGGACTTTAATATAGAGTCATTATAACCAATTTTACGGTTGAGGACTGAGGATACGAATCATATTCAAATCAAACTTTTTTTTCCCAAGTTAAAAGAACTGGGCGGCTTGGGGTGTTGCTGCGCGTAGGAAAAGAAGGCTCCGCGGGCCAGATTATAAATTAATAATGGAAGTCGGTGTTGAGGCCCAAGGTCTCTTTTCCTCATTTTATAGTTTTCTTTTGAGCGTCAGGGATTCCATCCGTCGCTCCGCCGCCGCGCATCTGATCTTCCCTGAACCCCGCTCATCATCGCCTAGCCCTAGCCCTAGTGCCGCGAGCTTCTCCTTCTCCTCTCCTATAGTTCTAGGCTGGGAACGGTGAGGATGGCCCCGCCCAGGATTCGGGGGAAGCTGAAACGCATCAGCCAGTTCAATTCTGCAAAAACTGGGAGGAAGAAGAAGATTTCCAAGAAGCGACCTGCGCAGCAAGGTGTTTAATTCCTTCTTCTCTTGAATGAAGATTGTTTGCTTCCTTTTTGACGGATTTGCAGACCTATGCAATTACCCCTCTTGAGTATTTTTTTTCTTCCTGGGGCTGGGATGCCCAATTTCAGCACTTATTTTGGTTTTCTAGATATGAGTATTCAGTACTTTTATCTATCAAAGGAACGTGCAGTGAGTGTGCATCATGTGCATTCTGCCATCAGCATGTCTTTAGTTTTTGCAAGTTAGCATCTGCCCCTCTAATTGTTTAAATCTAGTTTGTTTTTAATTTTGGCTGTTTAGTTTATGCATGCATCTTTGAAGTTCCCAAACCCAAATCATACCACTTAGTTTTTGTTCCGTTAGTTGTTATTTCAGTGGGAAACTGCTTGTGAACCATGCAGAAAGCAATTCCATATTTGATGTAGTAGATAGGCAACACCAAGTAACCAACAACGCTACCAGAGTATGCAACAGAGTATGAAGCAATCAGAGTATACAAAGACTGAAATTTCCAGTGAGCAGAAACTTGATAGATGAGCAGAAACATAAAACTACTCGTTGCACATACTAGCAAGACATTTTAATTGTGGACAACTGCACAAGGTAATTAATTTCCTTTTAACATGTGTCCACAAGTCTAACGCATATATTTTCTTGCTGACATTAACAGAGCCAGAACGGAGGCTTGGCATGATCCGATTCAGAATCATGGCCTGCGCAAAGTCCCCAGAGCAAGACATCTGCTACATCTGCGGAGACGACGATCACATGGAGCACTTCTGCCCTTACAACTACATGTTCGGGCGATACTTCAGCGACACCTGCAGAGGAGAGTGCCCTCCCCAGGAGCACAGGATCACCTCCAGGGATCATCGAGAGTTCCTGCGGCGTTTCGTGCGCGTGACGAACCTGCCGCCGGGGTTCGGGGTGTGGGATCTCGAGGACCTCTTCAGCCCGTTCGGAGCTCTGCTCATGTGGAATGTTCCCAAGTTCAGGAACTACCTGTGTGGATGCACGACTGGAATCCACATGAGCTTCGGCTTCGTCGTCTTCAAGAGACGCGAGGATGGGGAGAGGGCCGTCGACGAGCTCAATGGCTATCAGGCCGGTGACCGGAGGCTGCGAGTTGATTGGGTTTACCCTTCTTGTGTGTAGCTCAAAGATCAAACTTTCTATTTACCCTTCTTGTCTGTAGCTCAAAGATCAAAACTTTCCATTACCCTTCTTGTTCCATTTACCCTTCTTGTGTGTAGCTAAATATCAAACTTTCCATTTACCATTCTTGTGTAGCTCAAAAATCAAACTTCCCATTTACCCTTCTTGTGTGTAGCTAAACATCAAACTTTCCACACGCACTAGCAGAGACTAAAGACTAGAGAGACATTTGCATTTTCTGTTCTCCCATATGTATAGGGGTGGCAACAGGGCAGAGCGGGGTTGGGTTGGATTGCCCCAGCCCCCGACCCCACAAAGGAAGTCGGGTGAAAAACATCACCTGTTGCAGCCCCCACAGGGGACCCGGTGGGTGACCGGGGCCCCGCATCACCCGCATACATGTATCATTTTGATTCACTCTATTGTTTATCCAGACTCTTTTAATAGCCAATATGTTTTTTTATGATGTAGCATATCCTTGTGCAAGAAAGCTTGTTGCTTTCACTATATAAGATGTTATGAGTGTGTGAGTTTGTCTTGCGTATCTGTTTGTCTCGTAACGCTGTCAGATGGGATCAACTTGTGAGTTTGTTCTTTTGAGACTGTTGCTTATTATAACTTTTTTTTATTAAAAGACAAGTTATTTCCTTGATATCCCTTGTTTATATAGTTTTAAAAAATAAGTGAACGCATAGGTTTGCAATTTTTTTCAAAGTGAAAACGGAGCTTATGAAAAGGACCAGAATGCATACATCAATAAAGTTGGACCAGAATAGTGCATACAAGCAAGAAGATATAGAAAACTTGTATGCCTCACTTCGATACTGTTCCTCATACGACAACACTGGGTCGTTTCAACTAGGAATGTATCTGGCGTACCTGGTACCGCACAAATTTACAAATGATTTTATCGTGGCTATATCGCAGTTCAGCAATGGAAAGGACAAACAATGTGGGACGGATAGAGCTCGATACAAGATAGATGCCCGTTGTGTTTTTGGCTTGATTAGGATGCTGGGCATTTATATTTTATCTAATGTATGTAACTACCCAAAATCATACTAGAGTTTCACGCAATGGGAAGACGGAATTATTGGTCTAACCAAATGCAAGGGATTTCTTTGCCAAGATTTTCATTCCTATGGTGACTTTCATATGGTGCCTCTGAATTGAAACAATTCAGCCAAAACTCCTAAGCTGTACCAAGTCAAGGCAAAACTCATACTCGTAGTTATCAAGTGAGAATGAGCCTGCACTCAACTCACTGCACCCATTCGTAATTCCACACTGAACCATTTACCAAAACCCATCACTAATTGAACTTTCAACATAGAAAAAAAAATCCAGATCATTCTACTACTACTATTTCTTAGACCTTTTTGAAGGAAACATCATTTTTGTTTTTTCGATTTTGACTGAATCGGTCGGAACATAGACGAGCGAGCAGAGCCATCAGTTTAGACAAGGGTAAGCCCAATCGACTCGCAGCTTGCGGCCACCGAATTCCCAGCAGTTGAGCGCCTCCACGGCCTCCTCCGCGTGCCGATGTCGCTGGAACACGACGCAGCCGAATCCCTTGCATGTCCCCCCGGAGCCTCGCGTCGGGACGTACCACATCCACAGCGGCCCGAACCGGCCGAACAGCTCAACGAGCTGCTCCGGTGGGCACAACTCCGACAGGTTGTTCACGCGGACGAGGCACCGCAGGAACCCGAGACGCCTCGCGTTCGCTTCGTCGTGCATCGGGGGCTCGCTTTGCTCTTCCTCTCTGTGCCGCGAGCACTTGTAACGGAGCGTGGTTGTGTAGTTGCCCCAGAGAGCGAGCCGCGCTCTGCATGGGAAGTACGCAGCCGGGGAAAGATAGTTGTAGGGGCACATCAGCTCCAGATGGTTTCCCTTGTCGTCTCCACAGATGTTGCAGAACTCAGTATCCGGATCCCTCCAAAAGCGTGTAGTGGAGCCTGCATCCAGAGATCATCTCAGTGTCCCATGCATATTTTCACAGGGCAGTATAAAACAACTATCTATTGCTCTCTCTAATCACAAACCTATCACTAAGGGAAAGAACATGGACAAACATAGTGATCTCTGACCAATATAATACTTTTGAGAATTTTGATTGTCACACAAAAATAGCATGGGGCAGAAATAGTTCACAATATTGTTCTTCATCTAAATTATTGCGTTACCTGCAGCTATATTATGTGTTAGTATCACAAGTTCACAACTAATTTGTTGCATGAGGTAGCAATAACTCGGTAATTAGTGGCGAAGCCAGGATCTGATCACAAGGGGGGCCAACCTAGATATGTGAGAAAAAATAGAGAAAAATATACACAAATTTGAAGGTTCCCATAAACAATATTTATATCATATCAACAATTCAAAAGATAGGCATATAGCTATAATGCATATATTTATTTATTTTAATTTGGCTTTATGAGTAGACATATCATAAGCAGTGATAATGGTCGAGCTAAAAGTCTAAATAAAAAGGAAAATACAATAAAGCTAGATTATGGTAAAATGAGTGATCAACTATCTACCTTTTGCAATTATTAACTACTCCCTCCATTCTAAAATATAAGACATAACCACTACTAATATAAATATCAAGAAAAAAATATTATTAACCCTTTGTTTGAATTATCCCAATAAATACGATGTATGAACCCAATAGAATTAGAGATCTTGAGAGTTAGGAACTAAAAAGAAAAACTATTTTAGAGATGGAAGATGATAATTAACTGCATGCATGCTTGCGTGCCTTGTATTGTAAAGCATTCAAGAAAAATATTTGCGCCCTATATTTTGAAATGGAGGGTGCATTTTAGAAATTGAAAGTAAAAATGTTAGCCATATGTAAACAATACATACGATTATTACATAGTCTAAAAGGAAAAATATGACTGTATGACTACGATAAAGACCTTTGGTGCTTTTGATTAAGGATTGGTGTAGCATTTTTGCTAAACATCTGTACGTACGTGCCCATGCCAGGATAATACGGTGTCATCTGAAACTAACCTACCTAATCTAATGGCAGATTATTTGGGGCGTTCGGTGGGGTGGGGGTCAGTGGCTGTTGGGGGAGGCCAGGCCTCCTCCCGCCCCTGTCGTTAATCCTGCACTCTTGCTTCCTTGAATCTAAAAAAGTGTTTTAGATATGGGTCTACTAGGCTATGTAGCTCTACTTGCCTTCCGCGCAATGGAGTCAGTCCTATAATCAGTAGTTCAGTATGAAGAGGTCGACGAACACACCTTCCTGCCTTTTTACAAAAATGGACTGAACAACAGATGTATACGGTCAGAATGACAAATCTTTGTCCAATTCCATTCAATGCGTATTTTCAGGCTCAGTCAGCAACTTAGGCCACTAAACAAAACTTTTTTTATAGAAATATGCACGCATAAACCATTGTGAGATAATTGTGCACATGTTGATATACTAGCTGCCTATTATTTACCCCAACTTTATGGTATATATAGAATCAGTATTCCGAACGATGACCATATGGCATCAGCACCCGAAAAAGAAGCTAATCTCCAGTATGTTTCTGTCACAGTATCACTGGTGTGAACATCAATCAAACAGCGGTATCTACCACGTCTAGAGTAGATGGCCATATGGCATGGCACCAAGGGATTGGCATACTGAATGAGAGCCGTATAATAACATTGAAATGAAATAACGAGAGAGATTTAAGTGAGAGCAAGTAGAAGATAGTACTTTCTTCTTCCCCGCTTAATATGTACTCACAAACTCTATCTCAGCCCATCTATGCGCCCAAGCCCAAGCATGCTCTAGGGTCCATGTGTTAGTATGGTAAGATCGATGGCAAGCGGTCACATGGTATATGCACCATGATCATTGCCACGACCGTGCAAGATTATGATACCTCTTCATCGACACCTGGATGCCTCAGCAGATAATGCAATGAATATTGAATCTGTTTCATCACACTTCTGTGGCAGCAGATAGCTACCTTGATTGCTGTTTTCTTCCACTGAGGTCATTGTTTCAGGCAGTTTTAGGAAGGGTTTTAAAAGGAAACAAAACCATGACTAGCGAAAACAAGTTGTGTTAGCATGAGCAAGCTGAGAACAGATTCAAAGACAAAAGAACTTGTGCATCACTTGTCTGAACTGCATTGTTTTCAATTCATACGTTTTCACCCTAACAGCCCAACACAGAGACTACATAAATAAGTATTTCAAATAATTAAACACAACAAAATCAATTGCTGTGTGGTCAGAGTTGAACACAACAACATTCGTTTCTACTTCCTAGGCTAGTTGCAGTGCGACCAGTTTTATGGTTACAATGTTTTATGTAACTTACTCTATTTTTAGACATGAAAATGAAAAGCGAGCACGCAATTAAGTTACTTACATTCCTCCTCTTCTGAGAACAATTCTACCTCCTCCTGTTGTTGCTCCCATTTACTCTTTCTTCGACGCAGAAAGAGCATCTCTTGGAGAGTAAAGAGCCTCATAAACTTGTGGAACTTGAAGAGTTGAGGTACAACCAAAGGCTGATTTACACCTCCTGAAATCAACACAGGCACAACTGATGTGTACTGTTAACTGGAAATTTTAGTCTTTGCATACTCTATATATGCAGAAAGCCATTCTATCAAATGTAGAGTTGCTTTCTGTAGGGTTCACAAGGAGAACTAAAATAATAACAAATGGAAAAAAAAAAGTGGAGTGATATGATTTAGGTTTACTTCAAAGATGCATACATAAATTAGACAACCAAAATTAAAAACAAAATAAATTGGAGTAGATTTAAAGAAACTAAACGAACGGGGCCATACTAGACATACTGATGTCAGAATGCACATGTTGCATTTGCACATTCGCTGCAAATAGGATTACTGAAGATGGGCACGCAAAGAAGAGTGCTGAATACTCATATGCAGAAAACCAAAATTAAGTGCTGAATTGAAGCTGGGCATCCAGGGAAAAGAAAAAAAAATTGCTGCAGAGGGGTAAGTGGGGAAGTCCGCAGATCCGCGAGAACAGTAGAAAGGAAAGCACCTTGCTGCGCAGATTGCTTCTTCGAAATCTTCTTCCTCCACGTTTTATTACAGCTGTTCTTGCCGATGCCTTCGTCTCCCCTTATCCGGGCAGGGGCCATCCTCGCTGTTCCAGCCCTCCACCCCCTCGCGGCGTAGCAAAGCAGGAGAGAGAGAAGTGGGCGACGAAGTCAGCGGCCCTAGGGCTAGGCGATGATCAGCGGGGTACAGGGAAGATCGGAAGCAAGCAAGGGCGGGATGCGGCGGCAGAGCGACGGATGGGATCCCTGATGCTCAAGAGAAAAAGAAAAAAAAAATCCACGGAGGAGGTGAGGCCGTGAGGGTCGAGAGGGAGAGAGAGAGAATAGCTTGGGCCGCCGGACTGTATGACTTCCATTATGATCGGACCCGCTGAAATTTTGATCATTTTATACCTTTTACAGCCCGAAAAACTTATTGCTCTCCGAGTTGCATCGTTTTGATAAAGACACGGAGGTGAGTAGAGATCGGGCGTCTGATCGGGGGAAAAAAAAAATCTGGCGTCCGTGCCAGCCATCTGATCGGGAAGAAAAAAATCAGAGGCCCCACAGCTACTATATGCATGCACATAAATACTATAATCTGTAGTCACTGCATGCACAGAACATGCAGCCATGCATGTGTCAAGTTTTTTAAATAAAATTTAAACTATTTTTTCTCTCAAATTACTTATCCAATTCACGATCCGATTGCACTATTGAATTTGTTGCAATTAAATCTTTAAAACAAGACCACACATTGATATAATCCGATGAAAAAAATTTAGCTTATTATTGAATTATTTTTAAATATTGCACGTTGTTCCACCAAGTATATAGGAATTGTTTCACTAAGTAGATAGTAATTATTTCACTAAGCAGATCGAAAATGTTTCAATCGTTTAAAAAGCTGAAACACAACCAAATTACCTCATGAAATATTTTGCTACAACGTTTGAAACAATGGTTTCTCAAAAAATTGAGCGTTGTTTCACCTTATATAAAAACAATATTTCAGCAAATAGCGAAAGAATGTTTAGTCACTGCAACATTTGATTCATGCACAGTGAAACATCACGGGTACACTAGGTGAAACATTTTGGTGGAACAAAAAATGAAACAGATTCCCTTAATAGAGGGTTTTCGTAATATGTGGGTGATTTGTTGCAAAAGAATATTTCAATTCAACGCAACATTAGATATATACATAGTGAAACATTGTGAGTATATTATGTAAAACATTTTTTGTGGAAAAAAAATGAAACGGATTCTCTTAATAGAGGGTTTCCGTAGTATGTGGGTAATTTGTTGTAACGGAGTATACGTAGGGACACGTGACTAGGGCGGTATGGGATAGGTGGCGGGGCGGTGCGCGCGCGTACGGTGGGAGGCGCCAGGGCGCGGGCGCCCGGCGCCCAATTTTTTGCAGCCGCGCCGGGCGCCTAACGTGGAGGATTTTCGTAAAGATACAACCTTAAAAAAAAGATAAATTTGACCACCATATTTTATTGTAATCTATATAGATATATCAACAGATATATAATTTTTATTAAAATACGTATTAATATTAATCGGCAAATATTTTCAACGTTATTTATAGTCAAAGCTTGTAATGTTTAACCATGTCCAAAACGATAGGTACTATTAGTCCGGAAAGAGTATAAGAATAAGGGTAATTTTACCATTGGTACCTCTAGATAGCAAAAATTTTAGTTCAGAATTTAAGTAGTTCAAGGTACTTTCTCAAGAACTGAAAATTCCTGTAAGAATAAACACTAAACACTGCTAATAATTTTGGGGGGTTTGGGGATTCAGAGTGGTAGCCTAGCTTGGGGAGGGGGGGGGGAGGGGGTTATGTACAATATTACCGTCACACTGTGATGCGAAGGTGGATGAATGCAAAATTATTGCTTATGTGAAGCGTCACGTCTACGGTCAGGTCTAGTAAAACAAGCTTTGGACATACTATGGTTCACTAAATCAACATCATGTATCTGAACATATAATTTTCAACTTGAGAGACCTAAGCAATAGCTCTGCTCAAGTTTAAGGATTGGTCATATATTTGTCGACGTTTGATGTCGCGATTCCGATATTTGCATAGTATGGGGATCGTTGGTACTAGGATATATGCGAGATTGAGGTAAAATAGATGGGGACGAAGATTTTTATACAGGTTCAGGCCCCTGAATTGTCAGGTAATAACCCTACTCCTATTGGCCGAAGCCGGTAGTTGCTCTTATTCACCATAATCACACCAGTACAATATTTGGGGTAGTCTATCTATCTGTTGTCGACTTGGAGGCCATAAAACCATCCCGTAGTCGACAATAGAATAGTCTTCCTCCTCGAATCCGTGTCCGGCGAGATCTCTCCTGACAGTATCCGTAGACACCGTAGGGGACTAGCCATGCTTATCTCTCAAGTCGATATCTGACGTCTTGTCTTGGCGTATGTTGGCTTGTATGTTGATCTTGTGTCTTGATCTATTGTTCCGTATCCCCTCTCCTACTAGGGGGCCTTGTATTTATACCCACAGGTGTCCCCTTGTCCAAGTAGAACTAAGGAAACCAATATGGATACAATCCGAATAGTCCTTGTCGTTTCCATGTAGAACTCTAAACTCTTCCTATATCCGAAGGTTGTTTCCATATAAGACATGGTATGTGGTGGGTCCTGCCGAGATTTAGTCAACTACTATTAGGTATGTGGTATCTATAACACTGACAGTAGCCCCCGACTTCAATGCAAATGAACGAGTTCATATTCTCAATCCGAAGACCTCGGAATAACTGTTATCGAGCTCACGTGACCGTTCTCGGTGAGTTCAGAGATAACGTTAGACTTCCCTTATCAGCCTCATGCGGGCACCTTATAGGGTTTGTCTGAGTCAATCTCCGACGTCAACCAAGAAAGTACAGAGCATACGACTAAGTCTCTCGTCTTGCTGTAATCGAGAATTTGGATTGAAGTCAAGAAATTTTATCTCGGCGAGTACACCATCTCTTCATTCCGTATTCCTTGTTGAGATCCACCAACTGTTCTCGAGTGATCGAGAAGGCGCAGAGTCTGCGACGGAGCCTTGTCAATATTTGTCGTACTCGCCTTAGTCGATCTTGGTATAGAACCATAGAGACATGGAGTCTTCGACAATGTCGAATAGAATTTTCCTGAAATCAATACTTAGAAAAGAATATTAGATAGAAATAGCCCCCGAGCGAACACTCAAAGGGTGACATGTTATAATATGTATGGAAAACTGAAAATAAACTAAATTTACAGACCAATGTTTTGTGTACGGGCGTCTTCTCTTTTACCGACTTCGATCAGTCAACTTGTTGAGTCATACACTCTCCCTTGCCCCTAGCCTTGTCGTCGGAGAATCGTTCTCGGAGGATAAGGCTCTTGGACCCTTGACCTGCCTTGGTTGAAAAAGCGCTTACCCTAGCCCCCAGCCGTGAAGTTGGAAAACCCAATTTCCGATTACACGGCTTGGTTAATACGCACGGCGAGAACTCTTACATGACCAGGTCTTACATGGTCGTTTGTCTCTACATGATCCGACAAGGCCTTATCCGCTCTGGGCATCCCCAGCCAAAGTTCCCTTAGGTTCCTCAGAGGCCTTGTCAGGACGGCGTAAAGAGACATGAGGATAGGTTTCAAATCTAGGTGTCGTCGTGGTAAGGGATCTCTGGGTAAAACACTTGGCGATATTGTGTACCTGATATCAATTTTGCTGGAGTAGAGGTAATGGGAGGATCGCTACACTGCTGATCGAAAATCAGTTGTAGCCCCAACTTGACCACTTGAAGTAAAGGTAGTGGGAGAATCGCTACACCATTGGTCGAGGACCATGTAGTAGTCATAACTCAACCACTGGAAGTGGATGTAGTGGGAAGAATTGCTACACCACTGGTGGAGAACCAGGTGTAGCCTTAACTCGACCACGAGAAGTAAAGCTAGCAGGAGTGTCGCTACACCGCTGGTCGAAAACCAGGTGTAGCTTTAACTCAACCACGAGAAGTAAAGCTAGTGGGAGTATCGCTACACCGCTGGTCGAAAACCAGGTGTAACCTTAACTCAACCATGAAAAGTAAAGCTAGTGGAAGTATCGGTACACCGCTGGTCGAAAATCAGGTGTAGCCTTAACTCGACCACGCGAAGTAGAGGTGCGAGAGATCGCTACAGCTTACTGGTCCGAGAACCAGGAGTAGCCTCATCTCTCGGCCGATTGATGTCGAGGTACGAGAGATCGCTACGGCCTACTGGTCCGAGAACCAGGAGTAGCCTTATCTCTCGCCTGATTGAAGTCGTGGTGCGAAGACCACTACACTGTTGGTTGAAGACCAGCCGTAGTCCTACCTCGACCATCTGAAGTCGTGGTGCGAGGACCGCTACGCTATTGCCGTAGTCGTACCTCGACCATCTGAAGTTAAGGCGCGAGAGATTGCTACGATTTACTGGTTCGAGAACCAGCGAGTAGAATTATCTCTCGAACGGCAATGGAAGTTACGGTGCGAGAAATTGCTACGATTTACTGGTTCGAGAACCAGCGAGTAGAATTATCTCTCGAACACCAATGGAAGTTGCGGTGTGAGAGATTGCTACGATTTACTGGTTCGAGAACCAGCGAGTAGAATTATCCCTCGAACACCAATGGAAGTTGCGGTGCGAGAGATTGCTACGATTTACTGGTTCGAGAACCAGCGAGTAGAATTATCTCTCGAACACCAATGGAAGTTGCGGTGCGAGAGATTGCTACGATTTACTGGTTCGAGAACCAGCGAGTAGAAGTATCCCTCGAACACCAATGGAAGTTGCGGTGCGAGAGATTGCTACGATTTACTGGTTCGAGAACCAGCGAGTAGAACTATCCCTCGAACACCAATGGAAGTTGCGGTGCGAGAGATTGCTACGATTTACTGGTTCGAGAACCAGCGAGTAGAATTATCCCTCAAACACCAATGGAAGTTACTAAAGTTGGTTTATTACATGTGCATCTTATGTGGCCAGGATGACTCACATACCCAACTTGTAGCATATCCGGATGTCCGTTCGCAATCATGTCAGGTGATCAAGCCGACATCGTTCGCGAGCAATTATCCGTTAACAACCCTTTTCTCAAATAGCCCAGCCATAGCCGGTGCTATGAGATAGGTCGTCGGTCTTCGTTGGTAGGTTGGGTGCGACAACTCTGCATTTGTCGAGAATGTTCTCGATAATGGGGTGTACTCGACCACAACCTACTCGAGTGCTCAATTGTCCCTGAAAAATATTTTTCTAGAAGGCAAGGCATATAGCAGAGCATATCGAGTATGTAATCAAAAAACTGCATATATCTTCTAGTATTATCAGGA